GTCTTACCCGAGAAGATCACGTCTGGTCTTTATCTTAAATGTAATTTGATTTTTCTAAGAAATCGCTAAACATTCAATTCTAATTGAAACAAATCGGTTCATGGATTGATCTATAGTTCGCATAAATCCTAACAAAGTTCCCGTTTTGTTAATTATAATCAAAAAAAAATTGACGAATTTTCATTGTCAACTTGAAGATATGGTAAGCAGACCAGACGTGATCTTCTCGGGTATGAGTTGAACTTAGCTATGGGGACATGTGTCATCTGTATGGCGGCTAATCATAAAATGAACATACTCTCCGGTTACCGATGTAAACGTAAGTTGCTGAAAAGCGAGCTTATGCTTTATGGAATTATTGGACTTATACAGCCTTGGAAATTCAAAAATTTTTCGTTTTCTTTTTTTGTGTTTTTTTTTTTGATTTTTTTTTTTTTTTTTTGGTTTTTGTTTTTTTCTTTGTTTTGGACAAGGCTCGTATTTATAATTATAAATATTTTGTATAAATAACAAAAAAATAAAAATAAAAAAAAAAATAATAAATAAAAAATATTTGATATTTGAAAATGATTATGATTATGATAATAAATATGAATATTTCTTGTTGTTTTTATGTCATCGTTAGTGAGCAAATGACTGTGTGTGTGTGTGTGTGTGTGTGTGTGTATGGACCGGAGTTCGTAATGGGTCTTATTTCATGCGTCATTTCAATCAGTTCAAGTTACTTATGTATTGTTTTTGTTTTTTGGTTTTTGTTCAAAAATTTCAAATTTCAAAAATTTTTTAATAACTATTTCTCTGTTTTGTGTGTAGTTGGACAGACATCTCACTGGTTGTTGTTGTTGCCGTTTGTTAATTGTGTTAACACATAAGTATTTCCCTAGTTTGGAGTATAAAATAATTCATTAATTGTGGTCTCTACACTCTTAAATCCTACCAAAAATAATTTATCATAACGTTTGAAAATTTTTTATTACATTTTTGTTTGCTTACGTTTTTAATTTCTTTTTTTTTTTTTTGGTTATTTTTTTTTTGGTTTTGTCTTTTTAATTTAATTTTAGTATTAATTTACGTTATTTTTTGGTTTTTTTTTTTTTTTTTTTTTCTAATTACTCTATATACCAACTCAATATTTTGCTTTAATTCATGTTTGAGAACTGCGCATACATCATCATAAGCATACGTATGTATTTATATTTTGGGTATTTGAGAACGACAAGAGAAAGGGTAAGAGAATGTATATAAATATATATATATATATATATATATATGTATATAGATAAGTTTACAGAATAGATGCAACTTATGCGCACATATACGTACGTATCTATGTATGTATGTTTAGTTCTAAACACAACAATTATTTAGATTTTTCTCTATACCGATGTAAAAACGTACAAAAATTGGTCTATCATCCGAGCCAAGATCTCTGTATCCATCAATATTAAGTTATTTTCAAAAATTACTGAATTTAATAATGCCGCTCTTACTGTTCTTTATTCCATTTTGTTTTTTTTTTTTTTTTGTTTTGTTTCTTTTTATCTATTTTCTTTCAATCGATGAACAAAAACATATATTCGGGCATTTATAAACGCTTTCACTTTGTTTCCTTTTCAAATATCATAAGAGGAAGGCAGCGTAATCGTAGTAGTAACATTTAAACAAATGAACGGATAGACTGATATGATATATGTTGAGTAAATATTATTTCAGAAGATTGTGTGTAGAGTTGAAAAGAGTGTTAAAGTCTACGAAAACTTTATCTAATAAAATTTTGAACATTTTACTATTTAAGTTCAAATTTGCCTATAAAGTGCCAAGTGAGAGGGGACAAGAATAGATTGAGATATCCCCGAGCACTTTCATGTGTCCACCATTATCATAAGATGGGGAATACCAACCAATTGCCCGTTACTTTGCAATACGCAGAACTAATCATCAGAGATCCCTATATCTATCACATTTTCATTTCACTTTATTTTTGGAATTTTCAAAGTCTTAAAAATTAAGGTCGAAACCTATAAAATGTTGCCTATTTGAGTTAACCGGAGCCGATCACAAATTTATTTATTAAACGCAATTCGATTGCGTTTGATGATATTGTAATAATCTAGAATCCGTCGATCGAGCATAGATGAAAATTTTCTTTTGTTTGAATGTCGATCGAGGTTATTTGAAATTTTTCTACAAACGTTCACTCGATCAGCCAATTAATATACAAGTATAATTAACGATATATTAGTGGTGGTGGTGATGGTCGTGGTCGTGGTGGTGGTGGTGGTGGTGGTGGTGGCGGCGTTGGTAGTGAACAATCAAGACTCGTTCGATGTTACATATAGCTGTCGCATTTGAGCGTTACAAACGAATCGATAAATTTATTATACTCTTTCCGTCTTATAGTTGTCGTCTGTGTATGTATGTAATTAAAGTTGAATAATAACAGTTAATGAATTTCTAATAGACATTTCCGTCAATTTATTCGTTATTCGATTTGTTGATGAAATTGCTTGCCGCCCATTCCTCTTATACATATATATATATATGTACGCGCAGCTACATAGTTAACATCATATATTTACAGCATAGGTTTGGCAATATTAGGTTTCGCTGTTGTTGATGCAATTTCTGATAGTTTAATATCGATGGGTACACGGGTATCGTATAGAGTCGGTGCCTGTAGTATTATGCCAGCTGTGCCAAAGACGACGGCTATTGTGAAAATCCACAAAAAGAGTCGATCTAGCACCATAGCTACATATTTCCAATCTTCCTTAACCTTAAACGCAGCAGCAAAATGAGTAAAAATAATAACACCAATAATAACAATAACAATAATAATAATAATAATAATAATAATAATAATAAGTAAAGGGTATCATTATTTTTGAAAACTTTGCATCTAGGATTTATCTGCCTGTTGATATCTATTTGTTGGCTTATCGTTACGTGGAAAATAGCGAACGGGACTTATGAGCATTAAAATTAATTATTTCAAGTTACGACTAGAGTCGCCAAAGTTTAATATGGGGATATCAGTTTAATAAAGATTAAAAAGGCCTCGTTTAATACTGAAACAATCGGATGGATCTTAAAAAAAAATGGAATAAAGAAAGACCTTTAATAACATATAATCACTTTTCTTCTACTCAGTCCCAGTGGTTTTGGAGATACCGATGGTCAAAAACTGAATCAATTTTGAGTTCAAAATTACGACAACGACGACAAATACATTTCCTAATCGATTACAAAGATATGGTTAAGAAATGAGTTCGATTTGGCTACAGACTCGCCTACAAGAATGTGAAAGAACTTGGGGAAAATAAGACGAATTTTTTTTCGTATCTTTATGTAAAACATGCGATCCCGTGAATATATATTTTCAAAAAAATACTATCCAGCTCTTGATTGTAATTGTGATTCCGATTGGTTTGCTAATATGCCCATATATAGCAGTTAGCTAGTTAGTTGACTTTACCTGAATATAGTTCAAGGCGAATGGTTACTTGTATTTTCCGATTGTAACTTAAGTAATTATGAGGCATATATTTCAAGCACATTTCAGAAGGTGGCTTTCTGAGAATTGGTTAAGGAACGTCAGGATTGTCAATTTCCGCTTCTTATCTTTGTTTTTCTGTGATTGTGATGATACCAACAAATAATTGGATCAAATTAATTCACTTTGGTCGAATAAGTCTAGTGTTAAGGGATGATATTTAGTTTTGTTGCCGCGTAATTTTCATTATACAATAAACTATCGCGGTCGGTATTAATATTCAATTTTTCAAGAAACTTTCCCTTTTGAGAAATTTTTAATTTATTATCCTTTTTAATGATATTTTGCTATATATTCATATATATATATATATATATATATATATATATATTTATATATATAGTGGGAAGTTTGTTAGTTGTTGTCTTACTTACCCGAGTGCTTTCTTCTTCTTTACGTGTCTGTTCGGCTATGTAACTAACACCGTCCATAGCTTTAAATAGTTCAGGACATTTATGCCAACGATGACGTACACTACTGCTGATTTTATCTGAGCAACATTGTGGTCCACCTTCTCTCTGACATGGAGGTAGAATTTCCTTATGAATTATATTTTCTTCGGTTTGCTGTTGTTGATTCGCTTTACTTGACGTTGCTTGGGATTCAGCTGATTGACAAGCTGCTCCGGCCCCTAGACCTTGATGAACTTGTACGGCTCCGCTTACACTGCAACAAGAGCCCGCTAATGTTGAAGCTGTTGCTACCGAGTTAACTGTCGTTGTAGATTTCATCACATTCGAATTAGTGTTGGCCAACAAATCACAAGTGCTGGTTGATTGATGCTGTTGATGAGGATGTAATGGAGCAGGTACTGGGGAAAAATTGGCTGATGATGTCGACTGCTGACGATACAAACAATAGGGATGTGAAAGCGAATGTTGTTGCTGTTGCTGATGATGTAACGTAGTAGTCGAAGAAGAGATGCCGACTGCCCTATGACCAAAATGTTGTTCATGTTGAATTGTTCCATAAATGCTATACTGTGTAGTTTCACTTATGCCGTTTGTTTGAACGGAAGTTGAAGTTTTTTGCCGAAACTTCGTTGGTGTAAGCGGATGATCAAGTAGCGAGCTACCGGTTTGTTGATATTGATTATGATGTAGCGCATCTATCAACGACGATGTGGTCGATGTTTCCTGATTAACAGTGGATGGATACATCATCGAAAAGTTACCAGTAATGACAGAAGCTCCTCCCGCCATACAGCTTCCTTCATAAATTACACTCGAATCATTTAGTACGTTGAGGCTTTGCACTCTTTGCTGCAGATGTGGTGAGGTACTGCGCGACGTTTTATGCGGACTATGATGTAAGCTAAGTTATGATAAAATATGCGTATCTATAATAAGTTATATCTATCTTGGCTAATTAATAAAGTGAATTTTTTACCGTGATAAGGCTACTGGTGGGGGCAGCGGTGGTATTTGATCTCTCAATTCAAGTCCATTGCATGTACGTACCATGAGTCTCCTTGATGACTTACTGCAAACAAATTAATAAGAAATTGGTTTGTTGGGAAGGGAATGGAGATGGGGATAATGGCGGGAAAGGTTAGAGGGGTAGTGGAAGAGAGATATTTAAGTTTTCGAATATATTTCTTTTCATTTCGTTTCGGCTTGTGATTCCATTACTTACATCATCTCACTTATTGGATACAGCGGTCGTCGCATGACTAGGAATCGTGGCAGTTGATTAATGAACACTGTACGCACCCACGGTGCCATTATGTGAGTCTGTGGCGAACGAAAATGTATGTTCAAAACAACCACGGTCACACATATACTGCAGCAATAAAATTAATAGTGCAACGAAGCGAATCGGAAACAGCCATAAATTGAAAAGAGAACGCAGAGAGAGAAAGAGAGAGAGAGAGAAAGAGAGAGGGAGAGAGAGAGGGCGAGAAAGAAAGAGAGAGAGAGAGAGAAAGTACACAGAAAATGAAATAAATTATTTTCGGGAAATCATTTTTATTGCACGAAAAGATTTCAATGCTTATATGCTAAAGCGGATAAAGCGTGTATTCGTCTTATTCACTTCAATCAGATTTCAAACAGATTAAAAATTTTTCAAAATATTTACAAAATCATTTCCTTTTTTTTATCCGCGAATGGGGGCACAGGATAAATTTTCTATGTTTGTCTGATGGAATGGAAATATGTGTGTGTGTGTGTTCAATACATAAGTGGGAGACGTTACATATATATATATATATAGATATATATATATATATATATATAGAGTATACAAAATGATTTATGCAATGCGTTTTATTGTAATAAATTCATTGTAAATAAAGTCTGTAGATTATTTGTTGCATATTTGATTTGATAAGATGACGTTTCCCACGTAATAAATGAAATGAAATGAAATGAAATGAAATGCAATCAATGCAAAGACATTTACCTGAATGTATCGAGTATCATTGTGAATAGTACAAATTTCCCTAAAAGCGGCACAACTAACGATGTTGGTGGAATAATTTCCGCCAGCAACAGGAAGAACACTGTTAACGACAACAAAATCGATATGCTTAACGAGACCTGTAGAAAGGTAGACATAATACGCATAAGTATATATATATATATATATATATTACTTAAATGTTTTCTCGATAATCATCAATAATTTAGTTTATGGAAATGAGATAAATAGATATATATATATAAATAAAGTTTAAATTAAATTTTGAATACGTTCGCTTAGGATTGGAAAATTCGGATTGCGGAGCTTACCTTTTCACCGCTGTCTGAGGGTAAATAAAATACTAAAATAGTTAGAAAACTAATTCCCATGCAAGGTATGATCAGGTTTACAGTGTAGAATAGCGTTTTCCGTCTCATAGTTATATTAAATGTTATGTCCAAATAGGGTTCATCACAACAAGTATAAAATTTTTCATTTCTACAAAAATAATATAATAAATAATTTCGTTCAATCAGCAAACGTTCACTTTATTTATTCGAATTGAATAATCATTGCACTAACCTTACTGCAGGAACTTCCAAAATGTCCCATTCGACCGATGTATAAAATTCGGATAAATCTACACCAACTTCGACTACATTTGTTCCATTTAATTCGTCTATATGGCGCAAGTCCACCTATAAATTTAATCGAATAATATCGTTTAAATTTAATTAATATTTTACTTTAATTTCATAAAAAGAAAAAAAAAAATCCTTTATCTATAATATATTTACTTGAAAACCATCATAAGTCCAGCTACCGAATTTCATCACACACGTTTGCTCATCAAAAGGAAAATATTCAACATCAATTTCACACGAACTCTTATAGATGGCTGGTGGACGCCATTCAACGCGACCCGTATAATTAAGTGTGGCTTTAGTGGCCAAAGTTACTTCAAAATTACCATCAGCACTTAAATAAATTAAATTAAAAATTTGATATCAGACGATTGCGTCTTTTATTATTATCTAGTATGAGAAAAATTAATCGCTTACTTATTATAGAGTACAATATCTGGCCGCCAGATATGATCCGAAGGTACATGCAACATCTCGACACCTCCGTACTCTTTTGGTTCCCATTTAAGCTTATAATCGTACCAAGTCTGTTCAACCCAGAGATTTGTTGTCATGATTTGATTTTTCAAATTGACATCGATCAGTTGCGATAGCTTCAATTTTATGCGAACTGTTAGAGCGTCCGTTACGTTGACAACCGGCCGGACAAGTTTATTGTAATTACTGAGAAGATCGTCGTAAAGACGTTTAGCATCGGGATTCGCTGTGCCGTCTAAATTAATAAAATAAATAAATAAATAAATAAATAAATATATATATATATATATATATATGCTTATATATAATGAGAAAGAGCAACAAGGTGATTTCTATCAGCCCTTTTTTAATATACAATATAGATAATGTATTAACGAGACTTTCAAGTCGCGTACTACAGTTTAACACTAGATTGACGGTACGCGTCAATTGGACGGTTTTTTTAATTTAAAAAATTCAATATAAGGAGATGTTAGATGTTATGTATTGGCTTTTAATGATACAAGGCAACAAATGTCTATTCTTCTATTCATTTTTTTTTTTTTTTTGGGGGCCAAGGTCACTTTTGCTGTGTTAAAGCCCTTGTACGAAAATACGTCTGGGGTAAATGGGTAAATTTTGTGAATGGTCCAAGTCGGACAAATGCAGATAGGTAGTTGAAATTTGCCATAAACACTCCTTGATCGATTAAGAATGTGTGAGTTAAAGAAATGGTTGCGATGTGTTCACATCTACAGCCACAATTTAAAAGAAATTGAAAGAATCTTGGAAAAGAACGACAATTTTTTGCAAGTTTTTGTCTATAACTTTCGATCGCGTGAATATATATCTTACCGTTGTTGTTACCCAGGATTACTTGCATGTTCGGTGCAAAAATGATTTCGATCGATTTACTAATACATGCACGTTAATTGTGGTCGTGTTCAAAAATCGATTTGATTCATTTTTCGATTGGATAGCGGAAGTGTGCCTAACGAAAATCTCGATCAATGATTTTTATGGAAAACATCTCCATCGAAAATCGAAAATTCCGAAATTATTTCAGTTTTTCCTTGCGTTGTGGTGGACGTGCTTTTCTACATGTGTCGAACATTTTGTAGCGTAGCATAGTTTAATCTACCTCTTCATCTCGTTTTTGCTTCGACTGTGATGGCGCGATAAAATTTACTCATCGTTTACAAATTGGGCGGGCTTTCGTTAATCTTATATTAAAGTAATACATTTTCATACAATAAGAAGATGTGCCCGCGAATTACTATAGTATATCCTTATTTAAGATTTTTATGAGAGGATGATGGATGGGCTATAGCAAAAGTTTTGATCACAATTTTTAAACTCTTTTTTAAATAAAAGAAAGGCATTTTATAAAAATTTGTTATACGCTTTTAAAAGCGAAATATATATATATATTATTTATATTAGCATTGTGTTGAGGAGACTTTAATAAAATTTTTGTTTAAGAAGAATGAAAACAAAACTCATAACAGTGAGAGTAAAACGTTACTATACAGTGGCTAAAGCAAACAGAACGAACAAATTAACTTTTGTCGTTTTGGTCTACATGTATATACATACATACATATATATATACATATCTCATCATACATTAATGCATGCACAACGACGACGAAAATAGATGAAGAGTATTCGAATGAATAAATGTTCTGAATGCGGAAATCTAAGACGGAAATACAATCCAACAAAATTCTAAAGAGGAAAGAACAAGTCAGCTTACATTACAGTCTCGGTTGGTAAAAATGATTGCATTTGTTGTTGCAATTATCATTTATATTTGTATTTGTATTTGCATTTGCATTTGTATTTTGTAATTGTAATTGTATTTGTATTCAGTAGACAGTCGCGATGATAACTTTCATTAGCATTAAGTTTTTTCAATACTTTTTATTGCGGAATTATACGAAGAAAGATAAAAGAAAGCAGATCAAAAGATTTAAATTAAATATCTAAAGCTTCATTTTGAATGCAAAAAAAAAAAAAAAACGAACAGAACAGAACAGAACAGCGCAGAACAGAAATTTCAATACAATACTACGCTGCGCTATAATATAAAGATGAGTTATCTTCTTCTTTCTTTTTTTCCCTATTCCAATTAAATGCAAACTTGTCGATATGAATCTGTATCTGTATCTGTATCTGGATCTGTATCTGTATCTGTATCTGCATCTGTATCTGGTACCACGATAAAAATGATAAATTTTTTGAAATAAACTGCTCGGGCTGGTTAGAATAGGATAGAACCTATATACTATATACACTTCTTGCCCCTTTCATATCATGTCTGAAAAGCTTATTTCAAGTCTATTGCATTGCTTCGTATAAACCCGATTAATTCGTTACAGAAGCAATAGCAATGTGTCTTCGTTTCAAGTGTCGCAGAGCAAAGGCTAGAAGACTTTTGTGGACATTTGGAGGCGTGTTTTGTAACACGCAACTAACTCATCATCTAAACGTATGAAAAATTTAACTTTTTTTCTATTTTCTCTCTCTCTCTCTCTCTCTCTCTCTGTCTCTCTCGTTGCACCAGGGAGCGAACGAACGAACGAACGAATTACTTCAGCTTTTTAAATGGACCGATCATACATAAATTTTCAATTTTGTAAATCATTTCCTTGCTTAACTCGATTTTAAAACATGCTAAAGCTATTTGTGTGTCGAAGAAGAAGAGCGTGATTCAATTCATTGAGTTAGACGATCCATTGAAAGTCTGCGTGAACGCAAACGAATTGACCAAACTAATGTATTTAGATTGTTGATGGTGAATGCGATGGAACAAACTGTTAATTGCAACAATGTTTCTATGCGGTGTAGTCTATGGCACTTCATATCGCAGCTCACATAAAAGTTCATTACTTTTTATTTGTCCTTCGGCTTCAGCAAAGTTGATGACAATTTTTAAACTTTTCTCTCTCTCTCTCTCTCTATATATATATATATATATATATATATATTTTTTTATTTTTTTTATTTTTTTTTTGCAGTTCTTCAAGAGTGCTTACTTTACAAGTTAAAAGGCAAGAGAGAAAGGAATATGAATAGTGATGGAAGAACATCGGCATCGAATATAACGCGAGTTTAGCTCTTCAGATTCGACACGGACAAGAATCACACAATATTGTATGCAGTTGACTCGAAATGCAGGTCATTGCAGCTCTAGCGTACATTTCAGGGTCAATGTTTTAATATTTCGCAATAGCCAATAAAGTGGTACTTTACACTTGTATAGCTACGATGCACACTTCAATATATACGAACGAAAGAACGTATATATATATATTATTATGTTTATAGAAGCTAGCATTCAAGGTTTCGTTTCGTTGTTATTATGGCAATTATTTGCTTGGATATTATGGCCAACAACAGCAAAATTTTCTTTTTAATCTTAACACTTAAGGATTGTATTAACTTTATTAGATCTTTATTATGAAAATGTACATCTGGTACAAAATCAACGCGCAATTTGCCTGTAAATGGCCTTACTTTCTTAATTATATGATTTGAATTGATGTTTGTCCATCGATCCAAAAAATCATAATCAAACTCTATATAGAGGCTATATATATATATATATATATATATATATATAGTTTTTCTACTTTTTCTTATTATCAGAGAGAGAAAGAGAGAGAGAGAGAGCAATGAATACAAAACGGCTGCAAATTAAAACTCTGAGATCGGTTCGATGAGAATATCATTTCTTTCCTTTCACGGGCAGATAAAAACTTTGCGATTGGTTTGTCAAAAAATTTCATTCATTTTCACGGAACTTTAGCGACGATTTTTTAATCAAGTCAGACATGAAGAATATTTAAAAAACGATTAACTTTGCTCTTCGATTTTTCGAACATTTATAATAAATATCGTAAATTGGGATTGGGAATAACAGATTTTCGATTTACTCTTTCTTTTCCAAATTCTAAGAGGGAGGCGATCAAAATGAGATTTCTCTAAATCGTAAGTAAGATCGCTATTATTCATATATTGTGACACATTCCTTATATGCATATTCTTGCTTAACCTAAGTAGCAGAGTCGATTTTTGAATATTTCTATTTCTTCACGTGTGCATCGCAAGCCAGTTGATATAATAATTGCGATCTCGATATTCCGCCTGCAAGCATATACTTATACTCAACCCGTATGGTTATTATTGTCCATATATACATGATATCTATTATATACATATGTATCTGCATCGGTAGCTGAGCAGATAAGAGTCGCGATTAACAAGTCAGCGTTTGTGGGTGTAAGTCTCAAGTGTTTGAGAGTTTACATCGGTCGCAACTATAAAGGCACAGCACTTATCGATTGAATACGCATCCACTCGTTTGCCGTTACTTCCTACCTCTTTCTCTTTTCTCACTTGCTTTTTGACTGGCGTCGTGTTACGCGCATATAGGGAATATCCCCGTAATGATTGAATGTTCATATTGAAAAAAATAAAAAAAAAGAAGAAAAAGCAGATAACAATTTCAACTTGTTCCTTTAATTATGGCTACGAAACGCTAAAGCTATTATGTTTCACTTTAAATTGTTGTTCAATTAAACGCTCGTACTCGAACTGAAAGGTTAAGCTTAATGTTACCTATAATTACCTATCAATTTGATGTAAAATGTAGCATTTTTGAATATATATGATGAGCGACATATAACATGTAACGTAAAATGTGATGGATATCTTGTCATACACATAGGTTTATTCAATAATGATAATTATTTTGCTTTATAGTCATTTAAGCTGATGAAGATGGGTAGATAGTAGATTAATTTCATGTAGCAGAGCTTTAACGCTAATCTTATGTTCGAAGATTTTTGATTGAACCGTTATAAAGTTAATTGAGAAATAAATAAAACAACACCACCCTATCGTTATTAATGATAGGACGAAAAATAAGATGTTAGTTATATGGTGAGTTGTTGAAAAAGTGGTCCGATTCAAGCAATTTTCAATAGAAGAAATCGAAATAGACATACGAACAGATATGCTTAGGTCGATTCAGAATCACTTTCTCAAAGAATGGATCTGTCTCAAGTTCTTGCGAATAATTGCATACACCGGCGCAAAACTAGGTGTGTCGCTGTACCAGACGTTGTGTAGGAGATAAATAGTATGTGTATATCTAGCACACAGGTACCGTCGCAGAAGGCGTGAATTTGAAATCATTGCTAAACCGGGACGGTCACATGAGCAAGGCCTGGCAAACGTATTAAGTTCACT